TAAAAAAAGTGGGGCAAAAATCTACCTTGACAAGAGTCGTATATTATACTTATCAAAGTGAGGGAATATACTTTAAACCATCTTATCTTTAGCTAATCTAATACTTTTTAATAGCTAAAGTTTTTATTTGGTCACATTGTGAATGTTTTAATTTTATATATTAAATAAAATTGAAGCTCTTGCTTGATTGCTACATAGAAGACAAAAACATTGTCGTGTTGTCGTGTCTAATAGAATTGCTTTGAAAAATAAAATGTTGTGACTTTTATTTTGTCCCCATCCTTGAAAATTAAATAGAATATTTGAGTGAATTTTTCTTACTATAATTGATATTATGTAGTCTAATTATTTTCTTCTCCACAAATGTTTGCCTGGCCTATTCAGTGTAAGAAAGAAACATAAATGTTCATAGCACGATTACATATTTTATCTGCTGACTGCAAAAGATAAGGATTCCACGAACTTCCTTATTTTCAGATGACTCGTTGAATTATATTCGAATTGACTATCGTTACTTTATCTATTACTCAGAGATGGTGTTTTTTTTTTCTTTTTTCATTTCCTTTGTTGTATGCAAACTTTTGGAGTTAAATTGAGATTAATTTTTCATTTTAAAATACTTTGGTCATGTAATTTCATTGCARTAACGATTTAGTATTTGTACTTCCATTTAAGTTACAATTTAGTCTCTATATTTTTAACTTAGTAACAATTTAGTCCATATATTTTATTGTGTAACAATTTAATTCCTATAGTATAAAGTTTTTATCGAGTTAGTTCCTATTGTAATTTTTTTTTGTTAAGTTTCTTCAATATGTAGATCGATAAATTGGTGAAGGATCGGATGTGTTCATAAATTACAAATACTAAATTATTATATAGTAAAAATCGACACTTAATTTTAATAAAATTTTTTATATATGAACTAAATTGTTACATACTAAAGTTTAGGTGCTAGATTGTTAGTGACTAAAATTCAATAAATAAATTGTTATTTACGGAAGGTAAAGTAGTGATTAAGTGTGTTTTTTATTTTAACCTTCATTTTCTTAGACAGCGGTGGAAAAATTGTAATTATTGATTAGTTAAAATTATTGCTGACTCACTTCCTTAACATCCCTGTTAAGGTTGATTCCACAATCTAATTAAGAGTGATGATAGTGGCATCTTACAGATTAAAGTTAGATGTTATTTTTTAAAAGCAAAAATCATTTTGAAATACATTTAAGTAACATTTTAGGTAAAATTACATTTTTGGCCTGATATTTTAGTCAGGTGTTTATTTGGTCCCTAGAATTTTAAAAGATGTACTTTTAATCATTAGGGTTTGATATATTGTTCTATATAGTGTCTAAATTTATTTAATCGTTGGTTGACTAATAGAAATATGATATGGCTGCTAAATAAAATTTTCGACTTAACTAGTTATATTAAGTTTATATGTTTGTTTTGCGGTGATTAACCATGTGAGGTGACCATCTTCTTCCTCTTTTTTTCTCCCCTCCAGCATCTCCACCTCACATCAACAACTTCACTGTCGCAATACGTTACCGCTTCACCTCACCTTGATGCCTTGATCACTGTAGCTCGTCCAAGATGTTCGCGATCTGAAATGAATGCCCCCTCGTTTCATATCTACAACGAAGGATCCCTCAAATCTGGAACGAGGGAGCTTCTCCCTTTATGGTAGATCAACGATCTTGTACGAGTGGCGATGAAGGCATTGAGGGGAAGGGGAGATGTGACATGTTGCGGTAGTGAAGGCGTCGAGGGGAGGCAGAGTGACAATGGGTTGCGATGGCGAATGCGTCGAGGGGCAGTGGAGTGGATACGAGTCGCGATGACTAAGACTCGAGATGAGGCAAAGCGACAACGAGTTGCGACGGTGAAGAGTCATCCTCATTGACGCTGTCGAATTTCATTGGAAGGGGATAAAAAAGGAAGGAGGAAGCAAGAAATGAAGAAATAGAGAGGGAGAAAAAACAAACAAACCATCTCACTTAATCTACAGAGAATTGRTTAATTGATCCAAATAAGCTATGATAAATTGAGAGGGAATGAGTTCAAACCTCATGATAGCCATCTACTTAAGAACTAATTATTATGTATTTTTTGACACCATTTATTATAGAATCAAATGGTTGTCTGGTGAAGAGGTAAACTAAATTTTAGGACCACTTATAACTACTAGTGTATCACCACGTGCAAATGCACGTAATATTCTTTTTATTTAATTTTTCATTAATAAAAATATCATTATTTATTGAAAAAATGTATCAAAAGTAAAAAACTTAAAAGAAAGGTTTATAAATGAATAGAATTATATAACTCAATTTTTGTTGGTGAAACAGTGTTGGAAGAAAAATTTACTTCATATTTTAGAAAAAAATTATAAATTTTTTCAAGTAAGTAAAATGATTTTTCATATCCACTTTTTTGTAAAATTCTATACATTTATTAGGTGCACTTAAATTTTCATTTATTCAAAATCGATTTTCCTTTTACTTAATAAAAATATCATTGATTCTTTCCACTAATTAATTTTTAGCATTAAGAACTTATACATTTTTCTTTAAGAACTTATACATTTTTCTTTAAAACAGTAGATACTCATAAATTTATATCTAAGTTAATTTTACTTATTATATTTGGGTATTTAATAAATAAATATAATAATTATTGTAACAAAAATTATTATATTATAATATTTATTTTAATCCACTTTTAATTTGTTATATTAATTTTAATGAGTTATAATAAATTTACAATTGTGAGTAGAAATACACTTTAGAGTTTTAATTTAACACATTTATAAATAAATGCACATAATATTCCTATGCATAATAGAATATCATTTTTTAGCTACTTTTAATTTAACGATTACTAAAAATATGCTATTTCCTTTAAATGAAACTCAACAAATAAAAACATTAGCTTCTTTTAATTTAACAATTACTAAAAATATGTTATTTCCTTTAAATGAAAACTCAACAAATAAAAACAATAGCATTATTGCTTAATGTTAGTAGGAGATAACTTTTTCTTTTTTTTATCTACAAATAGGAGAGAAAGTTGATTAATCCATATTACATAGAATAAAAAATCACAACAATACTAATTGTAAAATAATTTATAACATTTATAGGAATGATTTAATACCTTAATTTCTCAGAAATTGTTCACTTTAATTGATAATTGAGATGAAATTGTAAGATTTAATGACTTCTACTTATAAAAAAACATTATTATGCAACTCTTATAAATACAGCGCTCAACGTGCTACGCCATTGTACACTATAATGCTACTAAATCTATATATATAAAATTTAAAAGAATTGATCAAGAAATGAAAAGAAGCATAAACTAAGGAAGAAAGCTAAATTATGGTGGGAAGAAGAATGAAGGAACTCATATATATATATACACACACACACGATGGATATAAGTTGAAAAACTTTTGAGATTCCAATATCTTTTGAACTCCATTAATTTCAATTAAAGTAAAATCATAAATTGTTAAGAGTAAATATACGTAACTTTTCATATTCAAGCTTTTTCATATTCATAACTTTTATGTTTTTATTAATTAAAGTTATTAAAAATAAGAGATGACATTCTTAATAAATTAAAAATCGATAAGTGGATAGAATAATCTAAAAATATTTTTCCAAGATGCTCATTTTTAATTTTTAGCATTAAGAACTTATCCATTTTTCTTTAAAACAATAAATACTCATAAATTTATATCTATAAGTTAATTTTACTTATCATATTTGGGTATTTAATAAATAAATATAATAATTACTGTAATAAAAATATTATATTATAATATTTATTTTTAATCCACTTTTAATTTGTTATATTAATTTTAATGAGTTATAATAAATTTACCATTGTAAATAGAAAAATGCTTTAGAGTTTTAATTTAACACATTTATAAATCAATGCACAAAATATTCCTATCCATAATAGAATATCATTTTTTAGCTACTTTTAATTTAACAATTACTACAAATATGCTATTTCCCTCAAATCAAACTCAACAAACAAAAATAATAGCATCATTGTTTAATGTTACTAGGAGATAACTTCTTTTTCTTCCTCCCTTTTTTTCCTCCCTTCCTACAAATAGGAGGGAAAGTTGATTGAATAAACCATATTATATAGAATAAAAAATCATAATAATATTAATTGTAAAATAATTTATAATATTTATAGGAATGATTTAATACCTGAATTTTTCAGAAATTGTCCACCTTTGATTGATGTTTGAGATCAAATTGTAAGATTCAATGACTTTTATTTATAAACAACATTATTCTGCAACTCTTATAAATAGGACGTTAACGTGCTATGCCATCGTGCACTATGACACTACTAAATATATATGTATAAATTTTAAAAGAATTGATCAATAAATGAAAAGAAGCAAACTAAGGAAGAGAGCTAAATTATGGTGGGAGGAAGAAGGGAGGAACTCATATATACATATATATACACACATACGTAGAAGATGAATATAAGTTGAAAAACTTTTGAGATTCTAATACCTTTTGAATTCCATTAATTTCAATTAAAGTAAATTCATAAATTGTTAGAAGTAAATATACGTAACTTTTCATATTCATAACTTTTTTGTTTTTATTAGTTAAAGTCATTAAAAATAAGAGATGACATTCTTGGTAAATTAAAAATCGATAAGTGGATAGAATAGTTTAAAAATGTTTTTTCAAAATGCTCTCTTTTTAATATAGTATAGATATAGATATAGATTTATATTTCAAATATATATCACCTCCATTTTTTTAAGTGCTATATTCGAGGAAACGAAATGGAGATGATATTTTACTAATTTTAGCAAATGTTTTTGTCCTAACGATTTATAATTATTATTATTTATTTTATTTTTAAGAGATGCCTTCAAAGTCAGAACTAAAAAAAAGAAAAGAAAAGGAAAGAAAAAGGCAAAAAACAGAATGTCCTTGCGTTCACATT